AAATTCTACCTGAATGCTAGAATTTATAGAAATTCTCACATGAAACGTTTCCTATATTGAAGCACAAAAAAGACAAAAGCAACAAACAAACTTTTTTTTTTTTATCCCTGGAGCATTTTTTTAATTATAACTTATTTAATCTTTGTAAAATAACTTCTGCAACTACACTAGTTCAGTCCCTGTCCCTTCACTGATGGCTAGATGATCAAATTTCAAATCTAAATTCTTTGTCCATGCTACATTTATTAGAAAATATATTCTATTTAAATATAGAAAGAGTCAGAAAAATGACTTCAAAGAGCTGAACATTTCAGTTAATACTCTTTCCCTGTTACCCAGTGGTTGTTGGCAGACAGGGAAATTAACCTTCACCACACAGATGTTTATTTAAATTACATTCAAATTGTGTGTTTATGTACATTTGAGAGTGTGCATGTATATTTTAATTTGATGACAAACCTAAAATATTTCTAAAAATTTAAAAACTTAAAAAAAATTGTATTTATTACCAATTAATTAAAATAAATCAATAATATCTTATAATCAACTGAAATATTTTAGTGTTTTAAAATCAACATTTTTTTTGATCTATCTTATGAATTCATTGCTCAGCTCAGAGAAGGAGTTGTCCAGATTAAGCGATAGGGAGGTGTGGTTGTGTGTGCTTATGTTTATATTAAATAGCACAAGCACATACAAGTTGCTCATACACAACACAGATATGCATGTATATAATATATTTGCAATATCAAAATCACACACACACAGTGTGTGATGAGACAGAAAATCAGCTTGTCCTTTATGATATAGATTCAAATGGTAAAATACTCTCAAACTTTATGAACTTGATTTGAAAACTGACATTTTCATTTATTCTATACAAAAATGAAATAACAAATTTATAATAAAAAAGCTATTAATTCTGAAGAGTGTTCACTTCAAATAAAAAAGTCAGCAATTCAGGATTTTCACCAACATAATGAATAATGTCAGCTGAAAGCAGTTCTTTGGAAAACTGATAATTAACCAAATTATGGATTTCTTTATTCCAGTCAAGTTTTACAGTCCATTGATACTAAATTAATTTTGTAAGAAAAGCTAAAGTTAAATTGTGGATGTTTATGATAAAATTTAGAATAGTACTGTCATAAACTATAGTTTATTAAACTGCACTGGGCGCTTACATTTATGACCTTGTGTAAACTAAGCTAAATTTAGGAAATTTCTCTAATCTTATAAATAATGAATCACTCTCGATACTATTTCAAATATGGTAGAGAATCATATCAATATTGACCTCTGGGAATCTTCATATAAAGTGGAAGAGATTTTTTCTTTTTTCTAAAGACTCATTTGAAATACAAAATACACCTTCTGCTGATTTGATGAATTTCATTCTTTAAAAATACCTCAAAAACTATCCCATTTTAGATATCCATTTGTTCTTAAAATGGATTTATTTTCTAAACTGATTCTTAAATTCTTGCAGAAACAAGAGTAATCATAAATTTGAGAGATTTAGATATTAGACTTTGCGAATATTTTCCTTAAGAAGGGGAGGAAAAAAAAAATCAATTTTTCTTTCTTCCACCCAAATTAAAGTCACAAGCCATTGAAAAAAGTGCCTGAGGGCCCATTCATTAAAATCTAAAAATGATGCAAATTAGTTTTCTATTTTTAGCAAATTCTTAGCATCATCAGTTTTATTAAAATATATTCAGCAGCAAAGCAAGGATTGTTTTGTTTTTTTGTGATTTTGTTTATTAACTAGAAATTTTTTTAGAATTGCTTTCACAGCCAATTTTAGAATTGTGTCAAAACTAAAAATTGCTTTTGTAAGGGAAATTGAAGACATAATAAAAGGCATCTGTCAAATCGAATACATAAAATTCTGAAGATAATGGAAGTTGAATATTTTATTTTGTCTTTTAGTTTTGATATCATGTTCTGACAAAGACGAAATTGATGAATTCATAATCTCAATCTTTTACGCAAGAACCAATGTCTTTAATTCTTTTGCAATGATTTAAATAAATTTGTTGGGAGTCTGACAATCTTGTTGCCTTTTATCAGTTTCTTTCTTAATTGTTCATAGATTTAGGCCACAGGAGAATCAATTGTTCATGAATAGTGAAGCTTGATTAATATTTATGATTATCAACCAGGAGAACAAATGGCTTGGCTTTGGATCTCAGAACAAGGAATGTAACATGGTGAAATAACTTTTAATATAGCATTTCCAGAAAGATGTCATTAGGAAACTGGCAATGTAGAGATTGTAGGTGGACTGCAGCAAGAACACTGGAGAAGTAAATGAAGGATTTAGAAATTTTGCAATTTTAGGTTTATTCAACTGTAAAGTAAATTGCATTTATACAATATTTCAGTGATTCCTATTTTTCTGACAAGGATGATTTGATGCAAGATATGACCCAGATGTAATTGTTATGCATAGAAATGCCAGATTCAGATGGGATAGGGAATTGGTCTTAACACTGATACATCAAGGATTTGGTGCAAAAGTAACAAAAGTCATTTATTTTTAACCATAAAAGACATGCAAAAAAAAAAAAAAAAAAAAAAAAAAAAAAATGGTAAAAATGGGAGAAAATAGAATTGGTTTGTATTCAAAACCAAAATACAGAATGACAAATGAAGTTATTTATCAAATTGTACTTATTTATTATTACAAAACAATATTTAGTTTATAAATAATGATATGGAAACAATAAAAATGTTAGAGAAAAATAAACTGGTATGAAAATCAAAATATGGAAAATAATGAAAAGAGAGAAAATGGAAAAATATCAAAGTAATTTTCTGAGGTAAATATACATAATAAATTCATTTAAAATCAACTTTTTAAATAAAAATGAATTCAGTTATACATTTAGTTATTTAATAAATGTAGATTAGTTTGGGACAAGGATAAACGTTTGAGGAACCCAATGAGGACTGAATGAGTTAAATGAGTCTATATATATAATACACCATGTATATTTAAGTTTTTTGTCTGCAAAATTTTGACTAATAAAGTAAATACACACATTATATATAAGTGAATACCGAGGTCAACACTGGGTGGCGATCGTCTGTTGTGGTTGAACGCAATCTTCAGGACATCTCAATATTACCATTGTGAGCAATACTAAAATTGTGAATATGATGACAATAGTAATTTTGAGTTCAATTCCTGTGCCAGGCAGTGTGCATTTTGACTCAGTTGAAAGAGGGCAAGTGATTTGAAACTGAGCAGTACTAAATAAGAAGAAGACAAGATATCCCTTAGACATGGGTAGCAAATCGAGAACAATCTTACCCCATAGATGAACCTATGAATAAAGTGGTTGATTCAAAATTCTTTTTAGGTTATTCAGATTGACAAGCACCTGATGAAGGCCAGCAGGAGCATTTTGATAACAACAACAAACATAAGGACAATAGTCTGCATATAAATCATACACCTCATCCCAGAAATTCAGACAATCCAGTTTTTTATCTCTTCCTGTACAAACCAATTCTACAGATAATGTTTGGTTTTCTTTGTCTATTATCTACAACCTTCTTTACCTATGGTCTTCCAATTTTACTTATATTTTAGGATGCTGCTTGATAAAGCTTTCTCCCCCTTGTCTAAATCAAATTTCAGTTTATTTATTTTTTTTATTGCTAACTTATATGGGATTAATTTCCACATTAAATTCTAACATTTAATTTCAATATTTTCCAATGTGTTTCTGTATCATTTATAGTGTATTTATTCTGAAGAGTATAGTAGCCTTTGTTTATTTGATCTGTGATATCTAATTTTATTGTTTTCTCTTGAAGCACATCTTTATGATGACCTCCTTCATTGATAGTGGATTTCAAACTCCAGATTAAAAGTAATTCAAAAGGTCAGAGAGCAGACATTGTTTTGAAACCAACAAAACTTAAGTCATAATGGGAATAAAAGCTGAAATAATGTCCATTAAGTTTTCATCTTTAATGAAGAGTAACATCTGGCATTTATTCTTGGTTTCATTGGAATCTTGTCTGAAGTCTCTAGAACAGTTTCACTTTTATGCTTCTGTTTATTAATCCTGGATCTGAGAATCGGCTACACAGTTTTCCATTATGGAGTTAATGTTCAATAGAAATTGAAAGTATGAAGAATAAATATTTAAATCATCACATATTTTATGGATATTAAAATAAGTAAGGACCGAAAAATTTGGTGTTTATAACTCTGAACAAATTCCTTTGTGTGTGGATGGAATGTTACAACTGTGAACTTGAACTTTCTATTTTTCTCCCATGCAGATGTCATCTATTGTCTTTACTGGTGTAGGTTAGAGTTATTCACACTTAAGCTGTGGATTATCATTGGATAATCCAGGAGATTATTATTTAGTCTAATAGTGCATGGGCACATCGATACTAATATACAAGTGGATAGCAAGTTTGAGGTCATCACGTATTTATAATCTATTTAAATGAAATGATTTAAAGAATACAAATGTTAGATTTTGACATGAAACCACAAAACAGAAGTTTTATTTTTCTACAATTTTAAATACATTCACCACTTTGAAAATATTCTTATTTTCTACTCTGCAAAGTGTGTCTTAAATCTGTCCAGTCATTTAATATTAACAAAAAATAGCCTACTGAGGACAATGGTACCATAATTCTTTTCAAAGTATTCCTCTTGAAACCTGACACACTTAGCAACACTCTAAAGCTTACTTTTTGAGGATTACCATCAGCTGCCTCCTCATATACACAAGTTCATTCATAGCCTGAAATTACTTCCTTTTCAATGATAATTTTATATTTGGGAAAAGTGAAAAGTTTCACACAATCAAATCTGAACCTTAGGTGGTGATGAAGTGACACCCCAGGGGAATCGTGGATGTCTTGCCAAAATTCCCTGCATTTGACATGAACACTCTACTTGCTCTCATTCATGGTAAATGCAACTATTGCACAAAAGCACATTTAATGACACTTTGACATAGGATCATATCATACTGAAACACTGGTTATCATCTGATCACTAAAGTTAAGCAACACTGAACCTGGTCAGTACCTAGATGAGTGACCAATGGGAAATACCAGGTGTTGTAAGATTGGATGTGTGGGTGGAATAATGAATAAAGACTGGGAATGAGAAATTAGAGAGCTGAGTTCAAATTCCAGTCAGGTTCATTAGATTCACTTATAAATACCCTATAACAATGAATACACATCTTCTCCCAGCTATGGCTTAAATAGTAAAAATTGTATCATAGAATCATTATTATCTCAAAAAAATCTTACAAACCAGAAATTTGGCTTTAAAATATATTCCAACCTTAAATGACCACAGAAAGGTTGATAAGCCATAAAAAAACAAATCAATAAATGCCATTTCACTGATTGAGTTACCTTATAGGAGAGTCTTCACACAATGCCAAGTTATAGTAAAGATGTGCAAACCTTCACAATGGTTAGATAGGTTCTAGACAGGTTGCATAATAATACAGATTTGTTTTTTTTATAAATTTAAGTAAAAATACAGCAAGCAAATTTACAACTTAATTCCCTTTTGCTCAAAAGTTGTAGATAAAAATTTTTCTCTGAAAATTTCAAAAGCTGTTGGTAGTAAAAAAAATTCTCTCAAAAGATTTTAAAGAAAGCATCTAGAAAAACTAAATTTTATGGTTTTCATTAAGAGCAAAAAATATTTTCATTCATACATTTCTGGGAGAAAGGAAATACATTTTTGAAATGTAACACAAATATTTGTTCACAAAACTAAATTTCATTTTTAATCAAAATAGTTTTTGTTATTTAAAAAAAACACCCAGAAAGAGAAAAAAGTTATAAAAGTAAAACAAGAAATAAGTGTTTATTTTTATCTATCCATATTGCATATTTGTTGCTCATCCAGAAATCAATAAACTATTTCTCTATCAAAAAAACTTGAAGGTCATGACGGATATATTTTAGGTTTGATAAGAAGTGCTGTTTGGACTGATGTGTCTCTAAACATTATACTCAGTCTCTTATTTCTTATTTTAATTGATTGGTTTTCTAATGAACTAATATACTAAATTTTCTTATTGACATTTATATTTTCAAGCATAAAGTCTTATAAATTTTTGCTAAGAAATATTTAATTAAAGAACAAAAAACAAAAAAAATTTTTTTTTTGATAAACCCAAAAGAATAGACAAGAATTGAACAGTTTGCTAATCTCACTTTCCACACCAATAACCATTACATTACATGCACAATCTTGTTAGTCTTTACCAAAAGACTATGGTCATAATTTTAAAGTATGGAAACTTAAAAGAGAGGGAAAAAATAAAGTTGCGTTTTCTTTTTTTTTTTCACCGAGAAAGCCATTTTCCCATATGTAGGATTTTTAAAATTATTTCTGCACTACAAAAATGGAAAACCTGTCTGGGAAGGGACTTAAAGATAACATACTGATTCCTGCTGGATTTTTGGTCATTTCTTTTTGTGGAGTGCTGGTGGGGAGTGTCTAAGGGTGCATCAGGTATTTGAGAACACACATTTTGTGAGTCATGAATGGAGGTCAACCTATCATAATTCATATATAATATTTTAACATTCACATTTTTCTTTCTGACATCTCAAAAGCATTACCAAAACAACTTTCAATTTGCCACAAGAAAACCATTAGCACAATGAATTGGAGATGGCAATTTTCTTGAAAGTGGCCATGTAAACAGGAAGATTCACAGATGACACTGCACACACTCTATGGAAGGATGTAGGGTAATGTAAAGTAAGTTCATATTGACTGTAATGGTCATGGAAGAGTGTCAGGAGTAACAAGAGACCATGTCATACCATCTTACTTCTTGCAGTACTTATGAACCATACCACTGACAGGCTGAACACAGAGGTCAAGCCTTGGCTAAGAGGGACCATACATGTTCTTTTCCACATGACCCATGTAATCTCAGTGGGGCTGGCTGAAAATTTTTATGATCATGTCAATACAAATGTCACCTTCTCATTCATCTGTACTACTAAATAATAATAATAATAATACAGAGATATATAGATAGATAGATAGATAGATAGATAGATACACCAATGAGTGGCTTCACAATAGAATTGAAAGATATAGAACTAATGGCAAACACAAACAGGAACACCTGATCCAGGTATGCAATGGCTTCTGAAGCTGTACTGAGGTCATCAATGAGGCTAAAGGAAGTTAGATAGAAAAACACAAATAAAAGGTAATTAAAGTGGAACATGCACTCAATTATTTTCTGAACATCTTTGTTTTTGTTTATAATTTATTCTCAATTATTTTTTGCATCTGGTGTATATCTATAGCCTTCTCTCTAACTCAGAAAGACCTAAAAAGAACAAGTCACTTTGTCTTAACTATGCAATGGCCATACAGAAACCATACTCTTTGAGACTCAGACTGGAATAAGCAGCAAGAATGTGCAGCATACCAAGCACTATAAATGGTGAAGCACTTCCTGACCGAATATGTTCATCTTGTTCTCACAAGACAGCGATTTTCTAATGCAAGCAACATAAAGGGCCGATTTGAAAATGCAAATGTGTATGACTTGATAAGCCTTTATAAAGGAAGTGGCTCTAAGCTCTCAAAAAATGACAATCTCATTGAAGAATTTATTTCTATTTGAGAATTATTAGCACTAATTTTTTAAATAAAATACTAAAAAAATGAAAATATTCTTGTTAGTAATTAAGGTAGAAATCCTAACATTAAAATTATTCATATAAAACTTATATATATTTAGTTTTGGATAAAGAAATATATATATCTCCATTATCAATGATATTTTTTGTTTAACTGAATATGTAGATATTTTTTTTAGAGATGTGAATGTTTTTAATTAAAAAAAAAAAAAAAAACAAAACAAAAGACAATCTATGTTAACTTAAACAAAAACATCCTTGATGATGGCTAATAATAGATAGCCAAAACTGCTTGGACCAGCAGATCATTTGGACAGTTTTATACACTATGTCCAGAAAAGAAATCACATTTACAAATGCAGGAAAAATCTAATAAAAGCTTTGTGAGTTGTCATCAATGAAATTTATATATATATATATATATATATATATATATATATATATATATATATATATATAAAATTTATTTTCATGTATGTGAATATGTAAAAAAACATTCAAACATCACTCTGTATTCCTAGTGTCAAGATGTAATTTCTTAAAAATCAACTACTTTCATTATCTTTACGTTAAAGTTATGACTTGTTTTGAAAAAGTTTGCACAATTTAAAATATTGTGTTTTAACACTATAAATGTTATTTTTTAGTGGATACCGGTATTTAACTAGATGCTCAGTTTATAAACTAAACAGTATATCTATTTATTTATTTTTGTCTACCGGCCTGAATAATTGAGAAATCTTATTAAAGCAAAGACAAATATGCACTCCAGCATATTTTGCAAATTACTATTGTCTCCTTTTCTGAAGAACAAAAGTTGGGAACTATTTCCTTGTTTTATAGAAAAGACAGAAAAAAAGATTCATTTATTCTCTGCTATTTCACTGCAACTTTTTCATCTCTTAATAATCAATTAATTAATAAACGATATTAATTGAAATGATTGCTGTTATTTACTAAGCTTAGCTTAGTTTGGCATAAATCCACAAGTATGGGGAAAACTAGTTGGGATTGAACTCACTATTTTTAGATCTACAAGTCCAATTTGCTAATCATTAGACAATGATATTGGATACAGCCACTATATCTTTGTTAATGTCTTGTTTGAGGAATTGCTCTTTGAATAAAATAAAGTTATTAGCTTTTGGCAAACAAAAGTCAATTTTAGAAAATTATAGGAACACATTCCTGTATCAATCAATGTTATAAATTTATATTTGAAATGATATATGTATGTCTCCTCCTCTCCCAGACATACATATGTGTGTTGCTGTTGAGAGGCTAAGTAATATTGTAATGTTGCTGCTAAATTTGTAATAACATTTAACAAGACTAACTTGAAAATCTCTCTCAATGTAAACACTGTTGGATTGTTAAAAGTTAGAAATAACTACTGTTTCTATTTTGAGTTTGTCTTCGGGCAGAATTTGCTGGTTCAGCTCAACTGACATGATAAATTTCTTTGTAGCAGTGGATGTAAGTTGAAAATAGCAATTACACAAATTGATTCAAATGAGTCCATCGTAAATTTCTCTGATGTAAATTATTCTCGTAATCTATTTTTTTCATTTATTTCACAGTCTTTTTTTCTTTTGTTCCATTTCATTCATGAAGTGTAAAGAAATAAAGTACAACAATTTCAGTTTCCTTGAACATAAATGGTTCTTAGAATAATTTTCCTATTTGTGACTTACAAGGGCAGCAATCATCTATCACCATGGACAGATGGATTTACAGGCTTTAGGGAGATTTCAGAAAAAGCAATTTAAAAGAAATACTCATAATTAAAATGTCAAACATTCTGTAAACTTTGGAAAGGTTGCTGTGTTAGATTCTTACTTTTGAATTTTTTACTTCAATTTTCTTTCAGTAATTTTTGGTTATTTTGATCACTTTAATTTTCCAATTAGTTTATCAGAATTGAGGAAATTAGAATAAAAAGTGAAAAAAAAAAGTGAAGGGACATTAGTCAAAATTTATAATTTTGCAAATATCATATCTAAAAGAAAAAAAGACAAGAAAGATACTGTTATCAAAAATACAGCATGGAATGGAGTTAAAAAGAAAAGGATTATGATAGAAAACTTAAAGATGAAAACTATGCCCAATTAGGAGAAATTTTAAATATTGTTGATGACTAAAATGCTGTTATGTGTGAGTTCAAATTTTACTTCATTAAGAATTACCTTAATGGAAAAAAAACCTGATTGCTTAAAAAAATTATACAATATTATTTTTAATGAACTCAAATATAGAAAATTTTGGGTGCTGCTTTAGAGTGTGTCCTAATGATCAGTTTCTGCTTTAGTGTGTCTCCTATTTTATCTAACGTAAGGGGAAAAGCAAAAACAGAAGGGATGCCATTTATTGTTTATTATAAAATTTAAGATAAAAAAATTAAAAAATTAGAAATTTGAGTAAAAATCATA